GGTGCTCCTGGTGCTGCGGACCCTGGGGGTGGCGCTGCTGCTGGTGCTGAGGACCCGGGCGTTGGAGCTACTGCTGGAGCTGAGGACCCGGACGGTGGAGCTGCTGCTGGAGCTGGGGACCCGAGCGGTGGAGCTGCTGCTGGAGCTGAGGACCCGGCTGGTGGAGTTCCTGCTGGTGCTGCGGACCCGAGCGGTGGCGCTGCTGCTGGTGCTGCGGACCCGGGCGTTGGAGCTACTACTGGAGCTGAGGACCCGGACGGTGGAGCTGCTGCTGGTGCTGAGGACCCGGACGTTGGAGCTGCTGCTGGTGCTGAGGACCCTGCTGCTGGTGTCTCTGCTGGTTCTGGAGACGCTGCGCGGCCGCGACCGCGACCGTACTTCGTCCCGCTTCTTCAGCAGGTTCTTGGTCAGGCTCCTCCTCCTTGTCCTCCTCCCTCCGTCGAGTGTCCTCCGCCTGTCCAGTCGCAGTCACAGTTCCCGCCTGCCTCGCTTCTCCCTGGTCCCTCTCCTTACACTGGTCCCACAGGAGGTCTTACCGAGCGTCGTGAGCCTGAGTCTCGTCCTGCGTCGCCTGTTCGTCCTGCTCGCACTGGTCGTCGTGTCCCACGTGAGCGTCCTCCTCCTGTCCCTGGCACTCACTACATGACTCTGCGTCCCTCCACTGCTCCTCAGCGTGTTCCGCTGCCGTCTCCTCCTGCGTCCTCTCTGCCTACTCTTCCTGATCCGGAGTCTTAATCCCGTCGTGCTACCAGTCCCACTGTCACCCGTCTCCTCGCTACTGTTGTCACTGACCCTACCTTTGAGTCCACCGCTGCGTCTTCTCTGGTCGCTGAGTTAGTTGACTTTGCTGCTGCCTGTCGTCTAGACTACGCCACTAGCCTCGTTGCTGAGTCTGAGTCTGAGTCTGTCTATCCTCCGTCCGTCGGGGGTGAGTGTGCTCTTGGCACGGACGTCCTTGAGGACAGACAGGAGGAGTTCCAGTGCTTTGCTGCTGCTTTACCCCACCTCGTGTCCATGCTAGTTGCCCCTGAGGGAGACCCGGATGCACCAGACATCCCGACCCCGCGCACTTACGCTGAGGCGATGGCGGGTCCCTACTCCTCTCAGTGGCAGACAACCATGGACGCAGAGATGGCTTCCTGGAAGTCCACACGCACCTACGTCGACGAGGTTCCCCCACCTGGGGCGAACATCGTCAGTGACATGTGGATTTTCAGGGTGAAGCGGCCGCCGGGTTCTCCTCCTGTCTTCAAGGCGCGCTACGTGGCTCGAGGCTTCAGTCAGCGAGAGGGAGTTGACTTCTTTCAGACCTTCTCCCCCACCCCGAAGATGACCACTCTTCGGGTGCTGCTGCACATAGCCGCTCAGCGCGACTACGAGCTTCACTCACTTGACTTCAGCACTGCTTTCTTGCAGGGCAGCCTGCACGAGGAGATCTGGCTGCGCCGCCCTCCTGGCTTCACTGGGTCGGTTCCTCCTGGTACCCAGTGGAGACTTCAGCGGCCGGTCTACGGTCTCCGCCAGGCACCGCGTGAGTGGCACGACACACTGAGGACGACACTTGCGGCTCTTGGGTTCGCTCCCTCTACTGCTGACCCGTCACTGTTTCTACGCACAGACACCTCACTGCCGCCGTTCTACATCCTCGTGTACGTCGACGACTTGGTCTTTGCCACTGCTGACACCGCGGCACTCGCCCACGTGAAGTCGGAGCTGCAGAGGAGACACACGTGCACAGACCTGGGTGAACTGACAAGCTATCTTGGCTTGCGGATCACCCGGGACAGAGCACGGCGCACCATCACCCTGACTCAGTCACACATGGTGCAGCAGATCCTTCAGCGCTTCCGCTTCACGTACTCCTCGCCTCAGTCCACTCCTCTGCCTACCGGCCACTCGCTCTCAGCTCTGCCTTCGGATGAGTCCGTAGAGCCGAGTGGCCCGTATCTAGAGCTTGTGGGCTGCCTCATGTACCTGATGACCTGCACTCGACCTGACCTTGCATACCCTCTTAGCATCCTTGCACGCTTTGTTGCTCCTGGCCGTCACAGGAAGGAGCACATGGATGCCGCTAAGAAGGTGTTGCGCTACTTGTGCAGTACGTCGGGCATGGGGCTAGTGCTTGGAGGGCGAGACCGAGTTGTACTTACTGGACACTCAGACGCTTCTTGGGCGGACGACCAGGCTACTCAGCGGTCGTCTCAGGGTTACACCTTCAGCCTTGGCTCCGGCTCAGTTTCTTGGCGTTCTACACGCTCTTCTTCTGTTCTCAGCTCCAGTTGTGAGGCTGAGATCTACGCCACAGCCATGGCTGCCCAGGAGCTTCGCTGGCTGACCTACCTGCTGACCGACTTGGGAGAGTGGCCTCGTTCTCCTCCAGTGCTGTACGTCGACAACCAGGCTGCCATTGCCTTGTGTGAGGAGCACAGACTGGAGCACAGAACGAAGCACATCGCCCTTCGGTACTTCCTTGCTCGAGAGTTGCAGCAGCGTGGTCAGCTTCGTCTGCGTTACGTGGCCACTGAGGCCAACCTTGCTGATGTGTTCACCAAGGCGCTTCAGCCTTGTGACCATCAGCGTTTCTGTACTCTTCTAGGCCTTGTGCCTGCTGGACCTCACTTACTTACTTCTTGACCCTGCTTGTACTGTGATCTTTATATATATACCTGCATGTTTACACTTGCTAGGTTGTGATCACTGTATCTCTTGTTATATTATCAACCTGCATGTGAACTGGTCTTGTGACCGCTTGCTTGTGCTCGGAATTTGTGTGGTATCCTTGAGATCCACCCTGAGCTTGTTTTGCTTTGCTTTGACTGGTCTTGTGACCCCTTGCTCTCCCCCACTTTGCCTATGGGGGTGTGTCAAACATTATATATGTTGTGTTTGTTTAGGCTACAGTGGGTTAGCCTATAGGGGGTACACAATTCTAGGGTTTGGTACTTGTACTGCTTTCACTCATAGTTCAATCATTCCAGTCTCTTCTTTCTGATAGCATGATGTGCGCATCAGAGATGCAATAGATTGCTAGGATAAGAAGACTTGCGGAACATGGCGACATCTCAAATGTTGGGGGCCAAAAAGGTCGTTCTGCAGGCATTCGGGCAGCCATGCGCTTATCGCGAGCCTTGATAATCTGTCAACATGTTTTCAAGAAGAATCCAAGAACCCTGGTTTACTGTAGTGATCCGGGCTGATGCGCCTGCGGAACAAGGCCTCTGCTAGATGGTGTTCTTGCATCAATTTACAGCGAAACGCATATGGACTTGGATGTGAGTTAAGGGCGCCGTGCTTTTGGCGCACGTATAAAAGTTTGGATTTTCCATTATACTAAAATATATGCATTATTCAAGTAAGGGCGTGGCTCCTTTTTGCCCCCGACGGTTTGAAATATCGTCGGTTCGAACTATCGTCGGTTCGAACCGACAAAGAATTATCAGTATCGTCTTGTTTCGATAGGTGTTTCGTGAAAGTCTGTGCAACATTTGAACCGTTGCGTCACTTTTTCCTCCTCTCAACAGTTCGGATTTTGAACATTTGGCAGTTCAAAAACCAGACGGACGGAAGAACAGTTCTGCAACGTGATTGGTGCGCAAATAGCACATGAAGAAAGAAGTTGAGATGCAATGTTAAAATATTTGCTGCATGCGACACGCACTCGAACATTGGACATGAACCACATCCCTCCGCCCACCAACATGACAAAATCATCCACAATCCGAACCGAACCATCACACCCCGCCACAAAGGATCACTCTAGTTCTGCTGAGAACACTGAACCAACCAACACCCCACCGAACACCTCGCCATCTGCTCCCCCCTGGTCGCCCAAGCTGGCTTCACCGAATTCGACTAACCCATAGGTCGACGAACCTCTTCGTCGACCATACCTGATGAAGTCGGCCATCGCCTACACGTCGTCGGCGGATTCGCAATGTAGGTCGATCAACTCCGGCGACCTGCTCGCCTGAGTCGGGGTCGCCCACTGCAGACGGTCGGCTGCACCTCCTGCACACCCGACAATGGTTCCACCCAAGCGAGGAAGGGGCCCATTCCCAACTCCTGTTGACACTCCCCTGCAGTTTTCACGCTTGGGCACCCCACACTAGGGCCGTACAGAACCCGAGGGACAAACCCCACGGAGAAAACCCATCGTTGTCAGCGTTGGAGAAAATAGATAGCACGCCGGTCACCACACCAACCGTGCAGAAGGGCACGGCACCTACTTGGCCAATTGCGACTGAGCACCGGTTGAAGGCCAAAAGTGACGTGCCTTCTTTAGGGAGTCGGTCGGCTGCTCAGAAGTCGGGATGCACTTCAGTATGAACTTCCCATGCTTCACCGTCTGCTGTAGCTAGGCATATCACCGTTCCATGTGCTTGAGGTTCCCCTTGAGCTCCAAGCCCTTGGCGACTGTGATGGCTGACTTGTCGACCACACGAAGGACAGTCGCCATCCCTACATTCAGCATCTGGAACTTGGCGAGGAGGAAACGAAGTCGAAGTGCATCCTTGCCGGCCTCGGTAGCCGCCACGTACTCCGACTCGGTCGACAAGAGTGTCACGCACTTGATGCACTGGCTCGACCAGGAGACGGCGGCCCCTCCGTAGACGAACATGTAGCCGCCCGTGCTTGTCGCCGGCGTTGTCGGCGTCCACGTAGCCGTGTCAAATTATGATGTACATATTTTCTATAACTGCTTGTAGTTAACTGTAGTGTAGTTATATTGTTGCTTATTTGGTCATGCACCTTCGCAAGTTTGCTATATGTACCTTGTGTGCTATAGTGAACACAACCATTCTCAACATTCCTTGGTGACAAATTACTCGACACCTTTGGCCTAGGCTTCTTAGCCTAGGCTCTTGTTAAACCCTGTAATCTAGTTACGTTAGTACTTTGACATGGTATCAGAGCTTTAAGCTCCTCATGGGCCCACCATTTCGTCTGCGTTTCATGGCTCCCGTCGCGCCCTTAGTAGCGACCCCGTTGCCACTTTTTCGATGGTCGCAAATCTCGGGGCCGTCGTAACGGGCGCGGCGGCGAGCTCGTTCACAGCCATCCCATTGCCCTTCTCCCGTCGTCACCTCACCGTCGCCCGTCGTCAGCTCCCCGCAACTCGTCGCGACATCCCTGCCACTCGTCGCAACATCCCCGCCACAAGTCGTTACCTCCCCGTCAGCCGTCGTCACATCCCCGCTGCTCTTTGCCACATCCCCGCCGCCCGTCGTCACCTCCTCGTCGCCCGTCGTCAGCTCACCGCCGTGCGTTGTTAGCTCTACGCCGCCCGTTGCACACCAGCAGCTTTCCCCGCCCGCCCTCCCGTCGGCACCTATGCTGCTGCAGCAATTGCACATTCCGCTACTGTAGATGCTGTGTCGCCCCGTGCGGCCTCCCTGCGCTTCCCCGTCGCCTTCCCTTCCGCAACTCCGGTTGTGGGGGGAAAGGTGGTGTGGAAGGGGTGGCCGCCGTGAGCAACTCCAACCCTCTACCCTACCTCTCCCCTCCCACGGCGCTATGGTGGGGAGGTGGTAGGGACAAGGGGGTGGGGGGCTGGCCTCTGTGTAAAGGATTGTGCAGGGACCATCGTGGGTAGGGAGGGGTCTAGAGGAAGAAAGAGGGGGAGTGAGTGAGGTACCAGGGGGCGGCTGAAAAGGGGGGTGATGTTAAGCGGGGTGGTTGACTAAGAGTTAGGATTTGAAGGTTAGTAAGAGGGGTTTTGCTATGCCTGGCTCTCCCCCACCTCCTCTCCTCATCCCGCTCTCACCTCCCCCTTTGTAAAATGGGGTTAGTAAGAGGGGTTCACCACGATTACCCCCACCTCCTCTCCTCATCCCTCTCTCACCTCCTCCTTTGTCCTTCTCTCCTCTCTTCTCATCTCACTATCTCTCGCCTCCTCCTCCTCACTTGCCTCTCTGCCATCTTCCTCCACGCCGCACCTTCCTTCGTGCACCCCTTCAGGGGGCGTTCTACACTTCTACCTGCAAACAATTACGGGGGCGTGTCAAACTATGTTTTACATACTTCACATAATTGCTTGTAGCTATATGTAGTGTAGTTCTTTCATTACTTTTTTTGGTGATGCACTTTTTCTTGTTCCTTTGCTATATGTTTCTGCGAACCAGTAGTGAAGCCTCTCATTCTCGATAATCCATTGGCTCAGCTCAATCGACACTTGCTTGGCCTAGGCTACTAAGCGTGAGGATCGAAAAAACCAGTTCACAAATGAGTCATTGATCACATGGGTACAAGGCGAGGCAATATATAGGCTCGACACAGGCCCTCAGATATCAGGAAAAAAACCCTGAAATTCCTGATTTTCAGGGTAAATTTTTGTACCTACACTGATTTCTCAGTGTTCAGATTTTAGAGGGACTGATTTTTCAACCATTTTTTCTCTAAGGGGACTGATTTTCCAGCCTTTTATCGAAGTGTACACTGAATGCACATTCCGAATCCCTGCCGTAAAACACCCGAGATGACTAGGTGTGAACCATTTTTTCAGTGTATTTTCTAAGGGTTTTTAAATTTGATCGCAGTTCATCGCGTAATGTCTTAGTTATTCGATACTACGAGTGAGATCTCCGGTTCGAGTCTCGCGGACGGTAAGGTTTCGTAGGAGCTCATGATCGTGAAAATCAGACTTTGTTTTTAAGACACCCTGAAAATTCAGACTTTTTTTCAGATGGAACACTGATTTTCATCCTTTTTCACATAGGGACCCTGATACCCTGACGTCCCTAAAAGTGAATCTGAGGCCCTGGCTCGACACAAATGCAATAACCTGGGTGTTACTCGAAGGTTCCACGGGTCGCGAAGCTTTCTGAACGGGTCCTTCCCGAATTCGGTAGAAGGCAATTTGGTGGCAACCAAAAAAGCCTAGAATTCGGTGGACTCAGCCTAGTTCGGTGCCCAGAACTTGAAAAATATAGTAAAGCACTTAAACCTAGGAGATTAAGCAAAAGCATGCAAGGTAAAAAAAAGCTGAGCTAGATAATGCGTAATAAAGCAGAATCAAGCAGGTTTGCAGAATCAAGCAAGTAAATTCCCGCAAAGCCGTCGTACTCTCACACGTCCCCCCCTCAAAGCTGGGCTTGACAAGATAATCCTTGAGAGCACGGCGTGCGTTGCCCATATAAGCTTCTACAACCCAACTATCCTCCGATGAGTCGTATCCCTTCCAGCGTATCAGAAACTCGAGCATGTTGTCGCGCTTGCGTTGATCAGCAAGCAAGAACTCGTTCCACCTCGTACTCTGGTTCATCCTGTACGAGAAAAGGTGATGGTGGCAATAGCTATCGTCCCCAAAATTGTTGGTTGGAGTCCAAGTAGGGCTTCACCAGCAGAACATGGAAAGCGTTATCACAAATCCACGTGATAGGTAAGCGCAAACAAAACGCAACTGGAGTCACCGTCACCTCAACGTGAAAGGGACAAAAAAAACGAGGCCGAAGCTGTGAGAGTACGACGGCTTTGCTATGATTTACTAGCTTGATTATGCTTTATTATGCATTATCTAGCTTAGCTTTGCTTTATTTTGCTTGCTTTTGCTAGATTTCCTAGGTTCGTTGCTTTTACTATATTTATTATAGTTATAGGCACCGAACTAGGTTGAGTGCACCGAATTCTAGGCTTTTCGGTTGCCACCGAATTGCCTTCTACCGAATTTGTAAAGGACCCGTTCGGGACGCTTCGTGACCCGCGGAACCTTCTAGTAACACCAGGGTTACTGCCTTTGTGTCAAGCCTATATATAGCCTCGCCTTGTACCCAGGTGCATGATTCAATAGTTCAATCTTTCCTGAACCAGATCCTCACACTTGGTAATCAGAGCAGGTTTACATTCGAGTGCTTCTTCCGCTTAGTTCCGGCCTTTAAAAACCGCGGGGGCGACGACGAACGCGCCGATACGGGTATGTAAAACCAGTTCCGCGCGAATTTTTCTAAGTCCCCCTCGATTCGGTTTTGAACACCCCTCAGGAATATTGGTGAAAAAGTTGGAATTTCGACCGTCAGATCGAGTTTCTCCTCAACGGCCGAGATCGGACGCGAATTTCGCTTAAGGGAGATTATTGCGACGTACAGAAATTGAACTCGTCGATTCTACAGTCGATTCGACTCGCAGTAAGTCCACCAGCACCAAAGAATTATTTTTTTTCGTCGCGCATCTTTCTGTAAATCGCCAATAGGGAGGGAAATAGAGATTTCTTTATACGAAAAATCGCGGAGTTACGTGCTGATCATAAGAAGATATTTGCGGCGCTCCCACGACTCAAAAAACTCCTTGCGAACCAATCGGTAGCCGCAGCAGCAGCAGAAGCGACGACGGCGACACCGATAATTGTACCTGCGACAACGGCAGCAGCTACATTTAATCTCGAAGCAGTAAAGCCGAGGCGACCAGACGCGTTCGATCCTAGAGCGAAAGGGAGCGACGTCCGTCGATTTGTAGCTGTATTTGAAAATTTCTTCGAAGCCGTTGGATGCACGACCCTCAACCAAGACGCATTGCGCATACGGCTCGCAGCAACACTGTTACGAGGCCCAGCTCTAGAGTGGATTAGCAATAGATTTGTCCAAGGCGAAGAGACGTGGGCGCAGTTTCGGGCAGCACTGATCGAACAGTTCGACGCGTTGAATTGTAGCTACTGCGAAACACGACGCAACAAGCCAAATAGTGGCATGGAGCGATTGGCATCACCCACGACTGCCGACCCGATGGAGAACGACAAGGGCGATACGACACAGCGGCTAGCAAAAAATGCGACGTGCGAATTTTGCGGCGCTACAGGACATCGTATCTTGGCGTGTTGGAAAATGAAGAAAGTACGTGCGGAGCTGAGGGACAAGAACAGTGTGGCACCCCCGAAGCAGAAAACGGACAACGTGGCAACTTCGGAGAGGGCGAAAAAAGGAGAATACAGTGGCGTGAAATTAAAACGTCACGACCAGCCGGCTCCAGGGGAAATCGCCGAGACAAATGGAGACTCCGCGAAACAAGACCCTGCACCGACCGGGAAACTCCAGCCGTACACCCCGACAAGTAAGAATTCGTTAAAGTTATCCTATAAAGATACTTTAACTAAGAATATTACTTCTCGTGGTTTTCAAGCCTATTTTAAGGGAGAGTCAGAAATTAAACCGGTACCGGGTAATATGGGGACCCTACTCCGGAGCGCTAATAAGGGTCGAGCGTTCCGAGGAGTTAATATTCTCTCCCAGCAGCCCTGTTCAAAGGCTCCCGGCCGTTCCCCACAGGAGCCTACACAGCTGCAAAGGCTTAGGGGAAGGTTCCAGGCCCTAGAGAAGCTGAATCGGCCTCGGATAAATCCTTCTTACCCTGCTAAGTTAGAAACTGAGTCAGCAGCTTCGAACGCAGGACCAAGGGACAATACTTTTGATCTACCTTATGATCCTGTAAGCAACACCATCTACAGCTACTCGGAGCGGCAGCAGCCACTAGTACTCGAGGTGATCTGCAACGGGCGACGCCTCCAGGCACTGGTGGACAGTGGTGCGTCCCACACGGTGTGCGACCGTGGGACGTTGGAGAAAATTGGAGAGTCATCGGAGGAGACCCAGTTTACAGCAACGATGGTGGACAGTACGAAGCTTCCCATCCACGGCAAGTGAACACTACAGCTGCAGATAGGGGCGTTGAGGTGGAAGCCGACGTTGCCGATCACGAACATCAAGGGATTAGACTTCATCTTGGGGCGTGATTTTCTGAAGCGGTTCAACCCCGAGATCGACTGGGTCAACCGGAAGGCGTGTATCTACAACAACGGGAAACGTGTGGAGCTGCGAAGCTGGACGGATACAGGAGATGTTCCTGAAACAACACTGGCGCGGTTCGAATGGATGGTGAACCATGAAAGTAACACGGGTTACTTAGCACTGGTTATGGCAGCAGCAGAGGAGGAAAAGCCGAACTCGGAGCTACCTGCAGCAGTAAAGGAGGTGTTGGAGCAGTACAAGGATATCATGCCAGACGACCTACCTGCAGGAGTACCTCCAGCGCGCACCCACGAGCACGAGATCGTGGAGGAACCAGGTGCGAAACCTGTCTCACGTGCACCATACCGACTAAGTCCGACCGAACTGACAGACATGAAGAAACAGATAGAATATCTACTGGACAGATAACTGAACCGCCCATCCACCTCTCCCTACGGCGCACCGGTTCTCTTCACTCCAAAGCCAGACGGTAGTTTATGGATGTGCATCGACTACCGCGCACTGAACAAACAGACAGTCAAGAACAAATACCCCATACC